CGCTTAAATCGTATCAACAGTTTGCCAACACGCCCCTCGCCCACACACATGCATAAGCAGATACCAGTACGAGTGTGTGTAGTGAATGATAGCTTGTTGATAGCTCACTTTCCTTGGGACACACAGAATGTCAACAAGCAACACTCCTCCTCCCCCACTGCGCGGCACCAACCAACCACACACCATGCATATAATTTTCAAACGTTTTTCACTTGATTTTCTCTAAACAAATTTTGCAAAAAAAAAAGTAAAAGGGGAAGAAAGGGTCTTCGAACTCCCCAAGGGAGTAGCAAAATCCTCGATGAAACTCATGGAAATCGCGTGTGTAGTGGCTTTTTGCCTTTATTGTTGGTTGTTGTTGGGAAAATTGCCGTTTCCGTCGTCAAACCCGTCGCGGTTTATGCATGTAAATTTGTCCAAAATTGTTGAAATTTGTGGGAAATAAAAAAACATATGGGGGTGTGAGGGTGGGTGGGAAGTTATCGCACTGTCTAATGTTTATGTAATCATCAGTGCTTTTATCATAGAATTTGGCATTATGGTGATGCATACAAAGGATATGCGAGGGTGAAAAATATATGTTTACTTATGAAGACCATATGTATGTAATGGAATGTAAGGTGTCATGGGAATTCTTTGATTTTAGAAAGTAAATATATTGCTTTATTAATTTTTAATTAAATGAATAATTACATATTAAACCTTAAACTTCTCTTACCAGAATCGTTTTAGTTTATAAAGAAGTTTCCCAAAAATATCACAAAAAGAATTGCAGATTCGCTTCTTTTTTCTATACATTTCAGTTGGAAGACACGCATTCTCCCCCTTCATTGCTTCCCTTCCTCCTTGAAGTTCTTACGACATTAATACCATGAATAATATACGCTCATTTCTTTAGATTTTACGCTGGCGTTTTTTTTTCGTATCCATTTCCACGACTCCTTACATTTTTGTCCTTGCTCAGCTTCTAATTCCAAAGGGGTTGTTTGTAATTTTCTTTAAACAAAAATGTCTTTTCTGCTTTACTTTGCTTCGTTTTCGTGAACTTTAGAGAGACCGAAATGAAAAATACAAAAGTAAAATGAGTCTGAGAAACCGCCGAGAGCTGCTGCTTGGAAAAGCTTCTACCCGAGTGGGAGGCTGAAGGAGCTGAGATGCAAAACGTCTCAATGAGTTTAACGCTCGCTGCTTGATAATGAGCAGCCAAGGAAGCGAGTCAGCCGAAGACGAAAGAGCTTTGCCTCCCCCATCTCACCAGCATCCTGGTGGCTGTGACTGCGTTGTTCCAGCATTAAACTCTTTGATGGAGAAGGCAAAGGTGTAACAGAGACGCAAGCGTAGGCCACCCCTCTCTCTTTCGCACACAGACGCAGGTGGCCTATTGCCGCCGCCATGCTTCAAAACAACACGAGGGTGGCACGCGGGGGGTTGGTAGAGAGAAAGCGAAAGCACTTCGTATGCAAATGAGTTTTCCGTTATCGTTGCTGCGGACTCCGCTGCCACCGTCGCAGTCGCAGTCGCAGTCCCTGCCGTTCGAGAGGGTTGTTTTTCATTTTTTTTTTCTTACCGTAATTCCTTTCCTTTTTTGCCCCTTCTGCGCTCTTCTGCTTACAGCGTACAGCTCGATAAGAGAAAGAGCAAAGCTCGTAATTTCCAAGCTAAAATGAGTAGAACTCTGAATGTGAAATTATAATGAGCGCAGTGTTTCTCTCTTCTTAGTTTTCTCTAAAGGCACTTGGAATTTTCCGGCAATCTTTTTCACTTTCTCCAAGGCTGCATGCTGTGTGAATTTTGAGTTGAGGATTGCAGCAGCAGAGTCCTGATCTTGATCCCGATCCTCCTGGCTAATTGTGTTTGCCAAAATTTGCATGCCTTTTTTTTGCATATCCCGCAAGGCTCTGCCGGGGGTAGAAGCAAAACGTTTGACCCTTAGAGTGTGCATGTATTCCGAGGACCTTTCAGATCTTTTGTTCCATCTACTATTATATCTACAACTATTGTTTGCATATGTTTACTAGTTCGTAACTATTACTGCCTATTTTACCTTTGAATGCTGAAATCCTAGTAAAAGATAGAAAAGCAAACAGGGAAAGGAAATAAATGCAGTCTATTCTTATTTATTACACTAATAAATCTCCAAATTGCAATTAGTTTAGGATAGAAACTGGAAAATCACTCAAGGATATGTTTAAGACTGAGTTGTCGCCTCCAACACCCTTTCCATAGTCCAATTCCACTGACCATCCCCCCTTCAGGGAGCTTATTATAATGCCTTGCTTGGCTGGGCGCCGATTTCGGACTGGTCGTCGAGTCTCTGAGAGTCCACGTTCTCTTTCTCCGCGAGTCGCGCGGGTGAAAATCATAATTTTTCAATTTGAATAATGAACGGCAGTTGGGCTACGTCGGTGGTTCGTTGCCAGCGAAGCCTTTAAATTTATTTTGAATGCCTTTTATTTTCTTAGGGTTTTCCTTCGTTTGCCCCACCAAAAAAGAAAAAAATCCCAACAGCCAAACACTCGTAAACTCATTTGAGAAAAAATTTTTCTGCCTCCAAATCCAAATCATTTACTCGAAAGCTAAAAAAGAAGATGAAGTGGTGTGGGGGAGAGCCTACACCTGAAACAATTTTGTAAATATTAAAGTTTTAATTTTTATTTAAAATTCATTTTTATAAAAATATATTAAGTAAAATATATCCTTGATCCGAAAAAAAACCCAATATAAAAAGAATGTTATATGCTATGAACCTGTACGAATTTTTAACAGTGCCTGCTGTCAGCGTTCTTGGGGCTCCAAAACGAAGAAAGGCTAAAATGCTAATAAGCAGCGCAGTACGCGAGCATTGGTCCTCCGTCGTCTCACTCTTCTAGACCCTCTCTATGTAAGCACATAAGACGCCCTTTATGTAATGCTCCTCGTACATGCTGCCATTTTTATATACAGCAAGCTGCCAGGATGAAGCCTTTTTTGGCTGTTGAAAGGGGCACAAAGAAGTGGAGGCGTCAGTTTTGCTGGAAGGTTGAATGAGGAGCAGCCGGGTGGGTGGTGCCGCCTTCCTCCCGTGGCATTGTAGTTGTTTGCTCTCTCTCACTGTGGAGATTAAATGGGGAAAAACACTGTGACATTTTCTGGCTGCGCGGCGCGGCGCGTTTTTTATATTCTTTTCTTTCTCATCGGCTGCTGCTGCCTCCAGACGCGAATTCAAATTCCGGAAAGGGGATGACTGGGATGGGGATGGGGGATGGAGCGTTGTGGCGACAGCATTAGTGGGGCGTCTTGTGGCAAATGTAAAATAATGCGAAAGGGCTTCGTTTGCATAAATTAAAAATTTATATAATGCTGTCCGTTGTCGCCTTTGAGCGAGAAACGAGAGAAATAGCGCTGGCTAATTTTCCTGCCTCGGTTTTCGATTGTAAGAAAGAAAGAGTCCTAGACATTTTTTTTTAACACAATATTGTAATATATATATTCTTTTCGCAGACATACAATTCGTTTATTAACATAATATATTTTAGCTTTAAAGTAATAAATAATTTTACAGTATGTATACATATTTTTGTATTGGCATTTAAAGCCTAAAAATTACAACAATAAACTAGAAATGATTATGGATTATAAACTATATGCTTACAGAAATATTTAATGCAATCATTTATTTATTATAATTTGTCTAGTTGATATTTCCTAATGCATTGCACAAGGAGGTATGTTATATCTTTAACTCTGGCTACTATGAAAACTGGAGAATGACTCTTGGATTACTGCTGCTTAGTAGCTTCGAGTAAGTTGAGCTGTAGTTAGTAGAATACTTGTATTTACATAAAATTGACTTGATTTATGCTAGTTACAACTAGGGATTTAAACATACTAAAGATTAGCGTCGAGTATTTAATGTACACAATTAATATGAAACTTGTGTAAGAGGTCTTTCGTGTAATGCGACTCGAAATGCGCTCGCTATCTGATTTTATTTTTTTGTTGTAATCATTTAATCTTGAGGAACTTGTATACCATACACTTGAATGAACAAAGAAAATTACACAATATTTTGTTGCATTTTTTATGACTTTAGAACATACAAACTAAGGGTGCATCGACAAGTCGATGAATTCGAACCAAAGATTGCACTAAAATTATTATGTAGTGTTAGTTTTATATTGTTATTTACAACCTAAATTAAAGTTTATATCCATAGATATTATTTACACTTAGTCATAATTTGTCTAATTTGCAAAAATCCTATTCCTAATTTGAAATATTCATCAAAATTACAATACATATAACTTTGCTGTTTTTCATTTTTGGTTTTCTTTCAATTTTGTATATAAATTCAGTTGAATTGTACGATTGCCAAATTGTTGTATGTATATATACTGTTCAGCTCACAACAATTTCGATACAAAGAGGTATTGGAGGTATTTGGTTATAGCATTTTCTTCCTGTTTACTTGGTTCAAGTCTTACAATTAGAATTATTATTTACGAATATAAAGATAAGTATGATTAATATACAGGTTTTTTTGGTTAATGCATTGAGCTATACGTTATGCTTTGGGAATATTTTTTAAAAAGTTCCTAATAGTTTTACAACAATAAACAAAATGGAAGAAGAATGAGGTTTAACAGCGCCGACTTTTCAACGTAAAAACCAAATAAATAAAAATAAATCGTTTTACTTTTGAATTCATTTATTTTTTATATTGCCTGCAGCAACATTTCAACTAAATATATAAATTTAAATATAAATATAAAAGTAAAATTTGATGATTCTGCTCAATAAAAACGAGATTAATATGGTAATTAGTTGCTAGATGATTAAATAATAGTATTAAATATTAATGGCAAACAAAACAAATAGCGTAGAAAAAACTTCTGTTTATTATTTTAACTTAAAGTTAATTTTGATTCATGATTATTGGCATTGCTTTCTTTTAGAATTCCTTTAAATTAAATTAAAAATAATCTAAATTACTAAATAAGAGTTTTTAATTGATTTTCGATTTTTTTAGATTTTGGAGCGCCGTTTAATTTACAATTAGCAGCTGCATATGCTGGGTATGTATATATACAATTTTTTAGTGACTTGAAAACCTAAAGATATATAACTTAAATTAGGATAAAGAATGGCACGACATTTTCGGTTCGATTTGGTGGGGTTTTGGCGGCGATAAGCTTATGGCATGTTTAGCTACTTTTGTACAATTTTTGTGTGTGTTTTTTTGATTTATGTGCTATTATTTCTCTAATTTTTTATATATAGTATATGGTTGATCTTTGTTACTTGTACTTAGCATTAAATTCCTGTTGCAAATGTGTGTTTGCTCTCCACTTTGAAATGGCAAAATTTTCAATTTTGTGTGGATCATTTCCAGACGCTTTCATCTAATGAAAACTGTTCATGGCTATGTACAATTGCGAGCCCAACTGATCTCTAATGGTGCTGCTGTTGCCGCATATAGAGGGCTGCAGCATCATCCAGGTCGTCCAAGTCAATATCCTCGTTCTGTTCGTGGGACTCGGCGGAGCGGGGAGAGTGCATGCTCAGATCCTCAGGTTCGGTTTGTTCGGGCATATCACTGGCTACGTGAAGGATCTGGGGGGGAGGCAGGCGGAAAACTCGACGAATATCCTGGGCCTTGCGCCGTGCAATGCTGCTGCTGCAATGTCCATCAACGGAGCTGGCTCCATCCTCGGACAAATCCAATGGGGCATCGTCCTCCATAGGACCTTTTTCCAAGTCGACCGACTCTTCAGAGCCTCCATAGCTGGCGCACATTGCCGCGAATTTGGTGGTGGAGGACTCAAGAGCCATTGCGGTGACTGCCATGGGAAAGTCACCACTCATGGCTGGCGACAGAGCCGGAGTGGGCGGCGACTGGATGCCACACTTGTGGTTCATCAGATGGTGGCGCCGCCGGAACTTCATGTGGCAACGTTCGCACTCAAAAGGCTTCTCTCCGTTGTGCACCAGCATATGGGACTTGAGTTGATTGGAGTCGCTGAATTTACCGTCGCAGATCTCGCATGTGTACGGACGCTCTCCAGTGTGGACCCGCAAGTGACGCCTGAGGTTGGCCACCTGAACGAATTGACGATCGCAGTGCGAGCAATGATATGGCTTCTCTCCAGTATGAAGGCGCATATGGGTCTTCAGGTGGTGATCCCGCGTGAAGCGTTTGTGGCACTCCGGGCATTCGAAGGGCTTCTCGCCAGTGTGGGTGCGCTCGTGGTTTTGCAAAACGTGCTTATAGCCAAAGCTGCGGGAACAGATTTTGCAGGTGAAGCTCTTGTCGCGAGATGGGTCCTTGGACCCAGCGCCTCCGGCATTGCCGCCCGCGCCCTCGTGTGTGGAGTTGGGAGAACTGCCGCTGGAAGGCGGTGAAATGGGACCACCGGGTGTGTGATAAAGATCATTCACACTCATGCTGATCTCCGTCTGAAACTCCTTCTTTACCGATAATTTGCGAGCCTTCTTCGCTGGCTCATGGTGCTGCGGGGTGCTGTTGGGCGAACTCAGCGGATGTTTGCCACTGCCCAGAGGTGTGGATACCGGCGAGTGTGGGCTAGCTGGCGGCGAATGCATGTGTGTGCCCTGAGGTGGCAGTGACTGCTGGGCGGCCCAGGCTCCAAACAAGGCCGCAGGATTGTGCGGGAACAGTGTGTTGGCCAATGTGCTCATGGGCAGTTGCGCCATGAAGGCAGCAGCCTGCCGGTTGGCAGCCAGGAGCTGGGTGGGGGAGAGCATTCCAAAGGCAGAGGCAGCGGCTGCCTGTTGAAGGCCCATAGCCGGATACATGGCTGCGGCGCTGGTGGCTGATGTGTTGGCCGACATTGGTGGCGATAGCGACATGGAGCGGTCAACAGAAACCTCCTCCCTCTTGATTCCTGCCAATGCAGCAGCCAAGCCTAAAACAAAAAAAATAAAATAAAAGTTAGTGGGCTGTTCAAGTGTTCAAGAAGGAGCGAAGCGGTTCTGAAGGATTCGCTGGGCAATGTGTAGCGAGAGACTAGAAGAAGCTCATAAGAGTAAACTTTCACATGTGTGGGGTACATATGTGAGAGAAGCTCTGTGCTCTTGGTTCTCTTCTGGGTTGCTGCTCTCTGTGTTGTTTTCCCTAGCTTTTGTTTTGGTGAGTAACGAGTTAAGTGCCGGTTTCTGGCCAAACTTGTAAACAAAGCCTAATTGATCCAAATGTGTAAAAGCGAGCTTGGACGAATGTGTGTCTGTGTTCGTAAACATGGCGTCTCGGCCATTAGCCTTAAGACGTTTAGACCCCATTTTCAGACAGTGAAATAGTTGAAGAACGAATATTTAAGAATCGCCGCAGGGTTTAAAACAAAATAAAATTGCACACATCTTTGAACAATACTTACTTCGTGTCTGTGCGTCTTGCAGCATTGATATGGCCATCGAAACGTTCTTGTTTCTGTGTTTAATTCCTTCGTGTTGCAAATGCAATGTTGAGATTCGCTGATATATTCTTGGGTTTTCAATTAGTTGACCAATTTTTTCGCACTTTCTTGTAAGGATATGAATTTATTTCGTTCACGCACTTTTGTACTTTGAGGTAGAGTGTTTCACTGATGTTTTCCTTTATATAAAAAAGTTCACCGATTTTGCAAAATGAGGTAGTTGTAATTTGATTAGGTTTGTGTGTTATTCGCGTTTGTGGTGTGTGCGGCACAACAAATTGTTGTTCCTCTCACTGACAGAGCCAAATCACGACTGATACAAATTCGCTGCGTGAGCTAACTATAAGTACGCTTTGCCGCGGCGAAACAATCCCACTCACCCTCTCACGCACTCACACTGCCACACGGCCACACGCACTCAATTCGCTCTCCCGCTCACTCGCACGCAGAGCACGCATGCCGGAGAGCAGGAGAAAGCATCAGGGCGACGGCGAAAAACGATCCCCAGACCCGAAGCAGGTAAACTGGACCTGGGCACTCCGTTGAGTTGTGAGCTGAGCTGAGTTACTTTCATCGGTTCGTTTTTTTTTTTTGTTTTTTTTTGTTTTTTGCTACCTAAAAGTGCTGATTTTTTCATATGCAAATTGGAGAGACAGGGACAGCCTCTGGTACAATGGTTCAATGTCGAAGCCGTAGTTGACTTTAGTTCCACAATCAGTGCCGTTTTTATTTTTACCAAAAAATATGAGAAATATCTTAAGTTTGGGCGCAGCACTACTTGGTTTTTTATGGCCCAGCGTTTTTTGGTAGTCATAAAACATAAAAAATGGAAAACTATGTGTTGCCCATGAAGAGGCCTTTAAAAACTTATGGTTACTTCCGCTGCTCCTGTGTTTTTAGAGCCTTCATAAAAAGTGCACTAGAAGGATGTCTAAAGTGGAGCAAGGATCGGATGTGAGCTCCTTCGCATTCTTACTCTCAAAAAAAAACTCACTCGAACATTTCCCCTTTCTGCGTATGAGTCTTCTTTTTTTTTTAAAACAACTCAACTGGCGAAGGGGATGAACGCCAAAGGAGAGCTGGCGGCTTGGCGAAAGGGAAAGAGCGAGAGCGAAAGAGCCAAAAGTCAAGAAAAGAGATGCCTTTGACGGGGTGGAAATTCAAGCGTGCGCCGTAAGAGTGAACAGGAAGTAAACAAAACGTCGGCTTGACGAGGAGACCCCAAAAACAGGAAAAACGGCCCGAGTCTAAAAAAAGTTATATGAGTGAGTTTTTTCTCTCTTCCCTTCAGCCTGTTGAGCAAAGTCACAAAAAAGAAAAGTGGAAGTTCGGTTTAATGGGTAACTAATTATTGCCACACGCCTAAAAAACGAATCATCAATGCGGAACTAGTAAAAAACAGTTTCCAGGTAGTTGCCAAACTCAAGAATCATAAAAAACAGTCGGTAGAGTTGAAACATCGAAATCTCTCAGCTTGCTGCTTCGGCGTTTTCTGTGACTTTTGCGGATTGACTTTTAAATGGTTTTATGTAGATTTTTATGGCAAGGACACGCTGTGCCGCTAAACTTATGTTGAAAATGGGTCTAGAGCGGTTTCTGCTGGTTTCTGTAGGTAGGCCAAGGACGGGCAGGAGACTCGCCGGGCGGTTAATGCGAACTACCGTAGATTTTTCGAAAGTGAAACCGAGAACAATAGCCGAAAGGGACACGCATATCCTTGCTCTGCATAATGTTACGTAAAATTCGAATAGTTTTCTGTCATCGAGAAATGGGCATGGTTGACTTCAGCGAAAGATTTTTGCAAAAATTCAAATTCGCAGAAGGCATTAAACAATATTTGAGAACCCAAAGACTGACCCTATTGATAAGGATTTCTGGTCTTTCGGGCTGAACTGACCGGTTCGAGCACATTTTCGCTAATTCCCAGGTTTCGGATTAGTCAGAAAAAATTTCGGCTTGTTTGCTTGATAAGGAGAGAGTATGTACGACTTGAGAGATTGAAAAAAAAGCAACTTAAGCTCAACTGATTTTATTCAGATCCGGGCATTATCTCCCGTCCCGTGGTTATGTCCACAATCAGCAAACGAGACTCGAGACTGTATTATCACAACGAGTGAAAGCAAAATAGTTGAGATTTGGAATCGCAAAATGAACCAAAATCGTTTAGAGAACGCCTTTCCACACGTGCTAAACAGTGTGTGTGTGTCTAAGTAGGGCAGCAGTGCGTAGAAAAGTGCGTATAGAGGCGTTGATAAGGTTCAATCTAAGAAAACTAACCTGGGTTAACATAATACAGACCATATATTTATTAATTTTATAGTATAGTTCAGAAGTTCCTCGTCAGCTGCCAAGATTTTATTACTAGACTTTGCTTTTAGTACATTCTCTAAGCACAAATTGCAACCCTCGGCTTTTTGTAATAGCAAACAAAAGCTGAATTCACTCTTTTTCGGGCAAAAAACAGACAAATTTTGAGCAAATATATCGGATGAACACGAGGGCTGTCAACAAAAGAGACAATTGTTTTATCAAAAAAAGGGGGAAAAGCGGAAATAAAATCGAAAGTGAAGGCTTAAAACATTGAAGCACCCCTACGGTTACATCATAGGGGTTTTTTTTGATTGTTTGGCAACCCATGAGTGTGCCCACAATTTTTAAGTAATTTGTAACACTCGATCGATTTTTTGCTAGTTGTTTTTTAAGAGTCCAATTTCTTGATTTATAGTCATCAATCGTTGTGGTTGACAGTGGTTGAAACATGCTCAAAATGTGAAATTATTTATGAATTTTAATTCTAAACCACACTAATCCTTGTCCCCTAAAGTATGGACCGGGATTTAAACTGTTCCCGTACTTATCATTAACCATACGTTAATCGTATGTCCTAATCCGCGGATAGAAACTGCGCAATGGCAAATCCACTTTTTAATTCGATGGGAAACCCTTTTCAAGCGAACGAGTAAGACGGCAGAGCCAAGGATCCTCTCAAGGCTGGGATTAGCAACTAGCAAACATGTAAAATTTCCTAATATTTTCAATAACACATTTATTATAAAGACCATTTTATGTTGTATCATCAAATTTCGCCTTTCAACGCACCCTGATCCTTAAGCATCCCTCCCAGCAGCATCCCTATCTCGTTTTTTACTGACACGGCATGCATGTGGCACGCTTATCGAAAAGGGATGGAATTTTTATATCAAATTAATAAGGAGGAACCCAAGGGTCTTCATTTGGTGGTACCTTCATCGCATGCCAAAAGTACGCCATTCCCAAAGCAGAGCTGAGAAGATTTTAAGAGCAAGGGTTAAGAAAGAGTGGAAGAGAAAAACTATTTTCAATGAACGTATTCGTAATCCTGGTGATATAATCAGGAAGCCTTGGATCATAGGATTACCTAAGCTGGTCGCGGAAGAGTTCCTACAGGGATTAAGATTAGACTGCCGCCGCAGGAGAAGGCCGGATTAGAATCATTTGTAATCATGCATTTTGGTGATACTCGTATTTCAAGTCGGGCTGTGTGAGTTTGGTTACATTTGAGTTTGGTTCTAAATGATCAAACTCCTTTCCTGGTATATTTCCTGCGTTCTTCACTAGGCGACAGTTGATAAACAATTTTCGCTAATTGTTAGCGAAAATAAAGGAAAGGTACAAGAGCACAGCACTGCATGTAAATAACACCCACGCACAGGGGATTAAGGGGCTAATCCGCCTGGTCCAAATGACCAGGAAAATATGCTTTTCCCAGACCCCGAACAATGAGTGAGTGTTAGTTGTGTTTCTGCAACATATTTTCCATTTTTGGTGGGCAGTTCCTCAGCTAATTAAATTTGTAATCAGGAAAATTAGAGTAAGGTAGAGGGGTAAGAAGAGTAAGGCACATAGTTTGGACCTTGATCTCCTTGATTTATAAAGTTTTGCTTCATTCAGAAATGCTGAGTGAGCCAGTTAAAAAACTCTAAACACTCATAAAATAGCAGGTAACAGGACTCGTAATAAAAAAAACATTAAAAAACGGAAGTGCCAGTAAAAAAAAGTCAACCACTTGCATTCGTAAAAAAGTCAAGAATAGCATAAAAGGTGCGGGAAAGAGTGAGGTAGCTGGTATCGACACCCGGGAATGCGGCGAATTCATTTACGACTCCTTGGTGACTTGCAAATGATCAAGAACGACGCCTGACGGCATGGCATGGCCTTGTTTATGACGCAAGGATCTCCTGCGACCTAGGACATTCTTAAGCCGGATTTAGTTCAGTTTTGCATATTTTTTGCATTGTTTTTTCTTTTTAAGCGAAATTTGACTTCTTAATTGCCGCCTCAGCTCTCAAGGCTGGTTGGTATTCTTTTTCTACCTGTGACGACTCGCCCAGCCAGAGTCTCTGGGTCAAAGGAACCCACGCTTACAGGTAGATTTGCTTCCTTGCTCTGGCCGTCTGCCCTTAGTATATTTTGGAATTCCATAATTATGATCCTCATTGGGCCCAGAGAGGCCTGCCTTCTTGCGAATTGAAGAAAACGTAAGACAAAAAAAACAAAGCAGGCCGAGAGTCGCGAAAAAAATCGCGACGCGCTCTAAGCCGGAGATTAGCAGAGGGATTTAGAGGAAAATCCGTCAATATTACGCCCCTTTGCAGGGGATCAAGCTTAATCGCCATGCTTAAGACTGGCTTATTTGTTTGAAAAAAATTTAATCCGTTTCTGAAGGTAGGCACAACATGTTTTTTCTATCCCACTCCCAGATCCCAGCTGCCAGAAAGAGGTAAACATTGAAATTGAAGCAAATTTTTTTTTATTAGCATGCGTGTAGAAAAAGTTAAATCCCTGGATTAAGCTGAACCAGTTGGTGATGTGTTCACATGGCCTGGCCTGCGCAGGTAAACACACTTTCGATCCCGGAAAATGTTGCTTAGCCACTGATCCAGTGATCAGGCTGGGATTATAGTTAACTTAAGGAGCCCGATTAGACTTAATCTACGATGCGCGCCAGGAAATTGTAGGATTGTGGCGCAATAAGTAAGCCGCAGTTCCGCCACATCACTATTAATCTGAGGATTAAAACTGCGCCACGTGGAAGGACTTGAATGAACGTAAAAGAATTAGATTATAGTTACTCCTGGATTTGCTTTCGATATAGGAATTTGTGTAAAATATATATAGGTAATAATAACCAAAGTAGGGTAGAATAGAAGCTAAGGTACGACCGCTTAAAATGTTAAATAATTGAAAAACCAATTGATCTTTATTTTATTTTGTTTCAATTTTAAAATGATCCTGTGAAAAACAACAAACCACCATCGTAACC